TGCTCCAAACGTTTTGATTCTGGAGGAGCGTGGCTGGAGCCGTTACATGCCGCAACGCAGCTTTCAACGATCTAACGAGGACGCTTTTCGAATTTTCGAAAGTTGGTGGTAAGAGGCAGCGACCTCTCAATGCCTAGAGGTGCTTCTTCATATTTTGGTTGACTATGAAATGTTCAAGCCGATCAAATTCTCTGCAATCAATCAATGGTGGCAATCGCCTACAAGATCAAGGTCTTGTAGGCGATTGCACACCTGGAGAGGAAAAAAGTCTGATATATTGTGGTCCGGCCGTGTCATTCATTGTGTGAAGCAACTTGATATTTTGATTATTTCCATACTTCTGGCTCGGGAACAAACTTGTGGCGCAATTCAAAGGGATGTGACCACTCGATTTCTTCTTAATATGTTGAAAAGATTTCGCAACGTTATCGCGAGATACGGGGTATCCACTAGGACCAAATAAAGGGGAGGGACATGAACTCTAGGGAAAATGAAAGTTCCTCATTACCCTGAATCTCTCATCCACGTCGAGGGCTTAGTCCAGTTTTTAACAATAAACGAGATGTTCACTTTTAATGCGTTACCACAAAGCGTCGTGCCTCCGTTGTCTTCCCCACTCCAACTAGGTTAGCTCCCAAAATTCATACCAGTTTTGGTTTTCATTCTTCATTCCTCACTTTCGTTACAGTCTATTCACTTTCACCTTAAAATGCCCACGTATCTTGCGATAGCGTCGATTAAGCTTCTACTGTTGGTGGTTTTGCTTCTTTATCGGTAATGTTGTTTCGTCGTGAGATTAATTGGTAATCATTGCTTCAAAACTGTTCCATCACTACAGCATTACGCCTTTCTGTAACGAATCATTGAGCACTGTTCTTCTCACGTTTGCTTTTGAAGCCGCAAGCCAAAAAGGTACACGGATTGACCCGAAACGTTGACTTGGTCACCTTCTAAAGTCTGGAAAGTCAAAGATAGGGATTTCTGTACTATCTTGGCTTGCAGCTTCAAAAGCAAACCTCAGAAGAATATCACACACAATGCCATGATTCATTGTGCTGTGCTACTGTTCCTTCAGAATATCTCGGTCCGGTTTCCATTGTGATTCAAAATGCAGTGCCCTTTCAGTGCAATAATAAGGCTTGCTTCTGAATGCTTACGTCCTCATAATGTTCGCAATTGTGAGGAAATTCCATTTTCCAGTGTTGATCCCGGGAAATTCACGTTTATTTGAAATTCGTTTGTTTTACTTTTCCAGAGAGGTTCAATGGTTCAACTCTGAAGAGGCGACCAATCCCTAATCACGACGCATTTGAATCCTCTTCGTAATCTCTCATGCATTTGAATCTGTGTGGCCTATCCCATAGAAGAACCCACTTAGATTTTTACTTAGTTTCGTCCCCCCCCCCCCCCTTCCAGATCAACGCGAGTGAGAAGAAGAGGGCGAGTTTCCGTTTTCCAAGTGGAAACCTTGCAACTCTGAACCCTCTGGGTTGACAGTAATCCTTAGCGTTCTTCATTGTACCAGCGAGGTTTGGAGGTGGAAGATTTATTGCCCGCCCAACGTTTTGAAGGGAACAACTTCCCTCTAATGTTTAAACGTGGCTTGGATGATATGGCCTCAGGAGTACTCAGTTCCTGGCCGTAGCTGGGAAGGCACGTTGTGACGAAATTCTTTCCACGTTGCCTGGTCTTGACAAACTTTTCTCTTTCCGCATTCCATAGAAACATCGCATAATCTTGAATCATCCCCCTCAAAAGTTCGTTACTGCGCTTCGTTTCTGGCACCCGCTTTCTTCTTCCTCGCCTTGCTCCTGGATGTATCCAGCCCATGACCCCTCTGTGAATTCGTTGCCGGTGGCAGTGCAAATGTGGGTAGCCAAGTTCGAAGCTTACGCTGTGCCGTAATCACGTGGAGGCTATTCAAGCCACAGCACACGCCTGAGCCGTGAAAGTTCCTCTTCAGTGACGTGGTCCATGTGGCGCGATTTCATAGTCCAGTTAGACACCTTTGGTGAGGGAGACGCTTACTTAAAGGAATCTTGCGCGGAAAAATCATGATTCTATTTCAGCCATAAATCACTGGCTTGAGACTCATTATCCACGATATAGTGAAAAGAACTGAAGTATTGCTTTCGTTTTGATTAGAAATTCGAAAACTCGAAAAGGCTGCTACGCGTTCGAATTGCCCACGGACGTCTTTCACGAATGCTGGCGACGGGGATGCTCAAACTTGGTTCTTGGAGTGCATTCACTAGAAGCTCTTTCTGGCCTTCTGCTTCGTTGCATTCACATCTTACACTTCTACTCCATCCTATTCCATCGATCGATTTGTCTCCACTCTCCGAAATCGCGCGCTTTAACCCGATTCTCTCATTGCGTCGCCTGGTACGTAGCCGGCCAAACGCCGTCTTCTTTCCATGCCTCGCCTGGCTCTGCCTCCTGGTCCTTCGATGGTCCATAACGTGTAGTTTTTGTACGTTTGTTTCTCTTCAGAAACCGA